GTTCTCCCTGACACTGCGCTGCTGATATGAACTCTGCACAAGGCTCTACCCCAACGCCCGTTCCCAAAGCGAAAGTATGGCCGAGCACTCTGGTCAAGTTCGATGATGGCTCCCTTGTCGTGGGTGAGAACGGTATCAATCAGACTCTTAACTACTGCCTCAGGAGCAGCAGAAGCCGTTGCCCCGCAGTCGATCATCCCCGTGCCAGGATCAGTAGAAGAAGATGCCGAAGAGGATTGAGCTTCAAGAACCTCCAAGCCAGCCAGGAGCATGTCTGAGGCATAGGCATTGACAGAGCGGGGTGCATCCTTGGACTTGTGCATGGGCTTGCCACGGCCCTTGTTGCCCTTCCAAGTGCCAAAGTTCTCCAACCAATGATTGTTCATGCCCTTGCCCTTGCCCTTAAACTTGCCCTTGGAGGAGTAGTTGAGGTCCTCATACTCGGTCATATAGCCCTTGAACTTACCCTTCCCCTTGGAGTATGACTTGCCCGGATGTTGCCGGTCAGGACATTCACGTGCAAAGTGATTGCCTCCACAAATGAAGCACTTCCCAGAAGGTCCGCCTCCAGGAGAGGAATGAAGTCCGAATCCCCGGTCCTTCCGAAGAGCCTGAGTGGCACGCTGAGCGTCAGCCCATGTCCGAGAAGCTTCAATGGCCAAGGATTCGGCCACACGCTCGGCCTTCTGAGCTTCCTTCAACTTCTCCGAGGTTTCCGGGTCTTCCGGTTCTGTAGCCATGTTTTGCTCTTGGTAATACCAAGAGTCATCTTCCCACCAGTCGTAGGAGTCGTTCTCTTGGTAGAAGCCATCGTGCCACCAGCCGCCATCAGAGTTCTGCCACCAATCATCCGATTCCTGGTAGTAGAGCTCGCCGTGGTCAAACTGCTCGACCTGATGGGCATAGAAGTCAGCTCCACCTCGTTGATAGCGATGGCTGAGGAGCTGGTCGTCCCAAAGACTTTGCAAGGCCGAGGAGATGTTCTCATAGTCCAGGGAATTCTTCGTCGTGGAGAGAATGTCCCGTTTCTCCTCGGCCGTGAGGCCTGCTGCTTGCAGTAGTCTCCAACCACGAAGTACTCCCATCACAAAGGAGTCTGCAATGGCCAGTTCATCAATAGCCTCCACACCCTTGGGAAGCTCAGGATCCAGTGGAGACGCACTGCCAACAGCAGCATCACGCAGAGACGGAGGTCGATGACTGGGTGATGAGCCGGTAGTAGCAGAAGGGTTTCCAGTTCCAGGAGCTTGCTGAGGTAGGCCTGGGTCATCACCGTCAGCGTAAGGGGGATCGCCGTCAGGATGGTGATCGTCATCGCCAGCCTCCTCATAGTCCTGGTCGTAGTAGCGATCATCCCACCAGCTGCCATCGTCCCATCGATCGCCTCCGGACCATTCATCACGAGGTAGTCCGAAGTCTCGCGACTCTTGAGTCAGACCAAGTTTCTCTTCATGCAGCCTGATGATCGCCTCAGTGAACTCTTCGTGAACCAGGGTCTCTCTCACCAAGAAGTTTCCAATGGATTCCTGAGGATTCCTTTTAAAGGAGAAGTACTGCTGACAGATCGCCGCCGCATTCGGGAGCGTCTTCCGAACCAGAGGACTGGCCGCAAGTCTCTGCAACAGGAGACGCGTACCATCTGGCGAGTCGAAAGCCATCTTACTCCAAGACATAGCCAGCAATCGGGCGGGTCCTGACAGTCTTCCCAGAAGTTTGCTCGAACAATAGCGACGCTTGTGCACGGGCGTCGCCTGCACGAACCAGCTCACCTCTCTGGTATATCTCCGCCAGGTCCTAGCTGAACCATCCCACGAAGGAATTCCTGAGAGCTCTTTTGACTCGGCCATAGTCAGCACAATGATGTTGAAGAAGAAGTCAAAACAAAAAAAGGGCTTGAAGAATCGTCGCTCGTTGTGGGGTCGTAGGAGCCCTCGAAGTGAAGACCAACGAGCTCGGTGCAGTCGTCCCTCAAGGAGTTCCACACCTAAAAGGCCCCAGAGCTTATGCTCCGCTGCCAATGCAGCGAGTTGACGCAGCAGTTGGAGATATTGGGCTCAGATCACACAACTCTGAAAGCGCGCCCTGCGCTAGAAGTTTTTCCACGAGCGCACAGCTCACCCGAAGGCCATGTGAATCAAGCTACAAGAAGGGCCCTCCTTGAACTGAAATGAGCAACGTTGCTGACAACCATCAACCATCTGAAAACGAATGTTGCAGTTTCCCAAAATTAGGGGTACCTTTAAAGGGGCTAATAGGGGTATATAGGGGTTTTATAGGGATGTATAAGGTTTAGGGTTTAGGGATTAGGTTTTCCCAAAATTAGGGGTACCATTTTCGGGGTTCCCATAATAAGGATGATGGTATTTGGAGGTCTAGCTTAGGGTGCTCCTATTTTGGGAAAGTACCAAATGGTTTAGGGTTACAAGGGCCTTTGGGTTTAGGGTTTAGGGATTGTAGGTGGTACCTGAACCATAGGAGCTATAGGAGGAGACATAGGGATATATAAGCATACATAAGAACAATGGAGACTCAACTGGAAAAGAGAATCGAACGGGAAAAGGAAACTGGAAATTTAGAGGGTTTGCGGGTTTGGCGGCTAGGTAGGTGTATTACAAATAACCTGTGTCATCTAGAACAGCAAACACAAAAGACCATAGACGATATTGTTTGACTGTGAGTTGGGCTCTACACAGTATGGCCTCGTCCTTGATCCTTGCAAGACATCTTAAATGCACGACCATTCCAAACGGCAACTGCTTGAGAGTCTGAGGGCAAGTTTCAGAGTCGAGAGAGAGTCTGTTAAACCCTGAACCCTAAACCCTAGAAATCCTACAAAACCTACATCTGCAAGTCCTACTGGAGCCCCCCAAGTATGTAGAAGAACAGCCATGCTTTCTGTGTCTATGTGTTTCTGGCCGTTATGATACCTGACTACTTTCGAGATCCACAAGTTAAGCTCCTAAACCTCACAGAACTTCAGAGTCCAGGGATGAGGGGCTGACTGATTTGGATGGAAACCCTAAACCTTAGGGTTTAGTGTTGGGGGCTTAGGGTCTGAAACGCAGACCCAACGAACAAGAAAAAAACGGTGGAGGCCGTGTACTAGGCCAAGTGGGTGTTCAAAACAACGAGGGAATATACGGGGATAATGGAAAAAGAAAGCTGAACTGCTATATCTTTTCGAGTATAGAACATTGGGGCCATATAGGGATGTGTAGGGATAGTATTGCCCACAATCATGGAACATCAAATGCAAACATCGATTCAACATCAAATGGAAACTGGGCTTGTATGCGAGGGGTTTAGGGTTTTGAAGCTGTACAGATCCTCGCATTTCGGGGAACATGCCCAGGTCACTTGAGGAGTTCGAGGGTCTTGGATGCAGAGGCCGTAGCATCCCCAAAATGGGCATGACAAAAACATGGCCCAACAAAGAACTATCTGGGGCTAAACCTATATGTCATAAAAATAAATGTCACCTACATTGGGTTACTTGGAGCTACAGGGATGAGAGAAGCTTTCGAAGATCTTCCCCAACATCCGTGCAGGACCTGCACTAAGGTGCCCTTGTAGGAGAAGGCCCATGGTGGCCAAATTCCCAAGCCCCTACATTCTTCAGCAGTCCATCCGGTAAGTCAAAGCAAAACCTTCTTCCTTGCATAACAGTCCTGGGTCGGAGTCCTGAGCTCAAAGCGCAAACCCACCTAAGCCCTGAGTCTCACTGGTGCTCTAGGAGAGCATTGTAGGATGCAGGAATTCACTCTCCACTCACCGTCAGGTGTTCCCTTCATCTGTGGGTCTGTATATGTACACACATACATACATACATACATACATACCTACCTACCTCCATCCATCCATCCATCCATACATGCATGCATACATACATACATACATACATACATACATACATACACATATATATGCATATAAATATACAGATATAACATAAATATACAGATATGATATATATATATCTATACACAGAGCTTACAGCAAAAAAGCCGACAAACCCCAGTGGGGTCTGTACGACCAAGGGCGATAGCCGACCGGCCACAAGGTCCAACAGAACCTCGCAGCTCGACACCTCTCAGTGGCTTGCAATGGGGACAAGGGCAGCCCGCAATCCCCGTGTATAGGCTGAGCTGTAGGGTTTAGAGCTAGAGTTTATAGGCTAAGGAAATAGGGCTGGAGTTTGTGATAGGTTTAAAGGGAATCACTGTCGCACCCTTGAGAGGTGTACAGCCATGTCTGGGCTGGAATACAGGACAAGCAAGCGGACCTGCAAGGCTTGCAAGAGGGTTGGAGACACAATCGAAAAGCAGCAACTGGATGGCATGTCGGAGGCTTTTTGGCGTGTCATTGCAGCAAGGACTCAGTTGGCTTTGGATGTAGAGGCCTTCTTTCTGAACGCTTACCCTGCATCATCCTCGGAGGAACCTTATAACCTACAACTCACCAATGACCCCACAAATTGAATTGGAACCGAAAAACGCTCTCTTCTGATAACCTCCAACCCAATCAAAGCTTTCCAGCTTCCGCAAATTCCCAGATTCTTGTCGAGAAGACTCCCAATACAGCGCACAAAGTGCCGCGTACCCTCAGAAGCACCCTCTTCATTCTGAAGCCCAGAAAATGGCAAGTAAATAACTGAACCTGCAATTCTTCGGGGCCGTAAAACAGCGCACATGGCTTAGCTCTCGATACTGCCATTCATCCGCAGTTTAGGGGGTTTGAGTGGACAGCTCGAAAGTAGGTAAGTATTTGGACAGCTGGGGCTATTACAAAGCTTTGAGGGAACTTCAAGGTTATAGGTATTCCTCCCCGAGCCTCAACGCGTGCCTGAGCTTGATTTTGGGCCTCTGCTTCCGTGACATCTCGCACCTGCGAGCACAACTGATGAAGAAATGCCTGGGACAATAAATGTAGTTTCGTCATGGGTTTGGGCTCATGGGCGTGCTCGATAGTGTCAGCAGATTCTGACTTTGCGAACGTAGTATTATTGAAAGGTGTATCTGGTCAATGATACGGATTTGGGGGGCTACGCGTGCTTGGAACCAACATACAGCCTAAAATGGTATCATATGCAGAACTGCTGTAAGCCCCATTGAAAAAGCATGGACCATAAGCCCTTTTGTTTCGGTATGCTTGGGACCGCTGATTGATGCGACGCAGGCTGAGACCTATGGACCTCAATGATCGCAAAGCCCTGAGAATCTAGAAGGTAGAAGCCATATAACCCTAAACCCTAAACCCAAAACCCTAAACATATGATATGGAATTAAAGGACCTACTGTCCAGATACTCAGGGGGCCTGGGATCCCTTTCACGTCCTTCTCCTCGCATGACGGATGGTTTTCCTGGAGGTAACGCCTATTACAGAGTTCCTTTTTGTCCGATGCCTACTCCTTATATCGCTCCAACATGGCTCCTGTATGGCAGCTTCCAAAAGCTAGGATCACCTTCATATGCCATATGCCCCGATTTAACGTAGTCCCACCCCCAGAAAGGTACGCCAACTTCTTGCATACCCTAAACCCTATAACATGCTACATAACCCCCAATTTCAAGGTCTTTTCTACTTCATTCTCCAAAGTCGTGGGTGCATACCTATATACATATACTTGTATGCTATCTACATTCGCCAATGTGAAAACCACCAAAAGAAAGGCGCAAGCTAAGGCTGCAGCATCGCCACCAACCTCCTCACCGCGACGCCAGTACCTGGAAGGTGGTTTACGGCTTCCTTCATGTGCTTCAACCGTGTTCAAGATTACATCTTGAACCCTAAGCCCTGATCCTGCAGGCTTTAGGGTTTAGGGTCTGGGGCTTCGCCGGCTGTACGATTAACAGTGTCCAGCATCTCACGCATGTAGATTTGCCTGGATTTTTGCCTTGGGGGTTGAGTACGCAAGCGTCAACAGCTTCTCAGGGACACCACCACAAAGCCGCTCTTGGGGTTGCATACTGTCCGAAGGCGTCTCAGGTACTTCTACGGTTCTACATGTCCTTGCATCGGCTTCGCCAGCATTTTCCATGTTCGGTAACAGTCTGAGAAAAGGAATATTCCTAAGTTCCAATGATACTGTTGCTTATCAGACCGAACCCTGCTCGCGTCTCGTGCTTATCTTCTACCTGAATCAAGGCTAGAATGCACGCGCAGAAAGCTCGACATTAGCGCCCACGATGATCCTTCCTACTAGCAACATGGTTCTGCTGCTACCCTATTTGCGATATGCGACTGCTAGCGTTCTCATTAGGTATAGCTTCCTGCCTGAGCAGTGGTTTCTTGCAATCGGAGCCTTGCTGGCAAATTGAGCACTGCCACCGAAAACTAAAACCCCCCCCAAACCGTTATCTTAATACATGCAGCATAAAAACCAGACTCTCCTATGAACACTGCGTAATATCCGGGAGTGAGGGTTTTCAATTTGAAGGAAAACGACTCTGGCCCATGGCGCACTCGGCCAAGAAAGCCATGGGCCTCAGGGTTGTGCGGAAGATTTTGAGAAGCTGCTAAATGAGTTAGCGTTTGTCGGGTTTAGGGACTGGGCATTCCCTGAAAGCGGATTTTCCGATGTAAATAAATATATATATATATTTGTACGTGGATAAATAGCTTAATTCAAGTGATAGCCCAAGACTGGAAGGGAACCGCATGGAACACAGTCTG